CCTGAACTGGAGAGGAGAGATCCTACACTCAATTAACATTTGAGTGTATGCATGAATACCTGAGACTCGCAGTGGTTGAGGAGAGCTGTCACGTAACAGAAAGTGCTGGAAGTGTTTAATGCGAGACTTCAAATGCCTGTTTCTTTGGTAAGAAGTCCCCACACTTCTGCTCTGAGAAGTCATGTGCCTGTTTGCACTGGCAGAAGTGGAGGCATTACCTAGTGGTAACTAAATATATCTTTACCTGTGTGGTGACACAGCTTTCTCCGGTGTTGAGCTTGGCAATTAACAGCTATCACCTGATAGAGAATAACTTCTGTGACTCACAAAGTGGAGGAGGAGGAGGAAGTGAGCTGGAGCCCATGGTGGTTCCTGTGAACTTTGGTGTAAATGGCTGGGCTTATCTGGAAGATCTGGTCTAAGATGGTTCTGGTGGCATTCCAGGGGAACGCAGTGAAGCAGAATCTGGTTTCCACCCACTCTGCCTTCTGAATAAGCAACATGAATACCTTTTAATGTGTTAATGTTAATATATATATAACTATCCATTTCTGGTTTCTATAGTAAGCATGCCATGGTGTAATTGTGTGATGAAAATCTCAGGTTTAGCTTTACGAGCAGTGTAGGGAATACAGGCATAGCCCACACATGCTGCCACCTTCTTCCTACAGAGCAAAATGCTCTCAAATAAAGTTCAGAAAGAGCTTCAGTGCCTCACATACCTGAAACCCCATCCAGCAAATGACACTGGCCCTAGCAGCCTGCTGCTGGAAAGCATGGACTTGTTCGGGAGAGCGTAGCTATTTGGAGTTAGAATTGGGAAGTGAGGTTTTAACTGAAGGTGAGCAAGTAAAGGAAGAACGGGGTGCCTCCATGGTTCTGATGGAAACCATGAAGGTAAGGCTGCAAACCACACTGCTTAGAAAAACATGTCTGAGAAACTGGATCATAAACTTGGCAGTGAGGGTTCTCTGGCCTTACCTTTTCCTTTGCTCCACAGTGTGTTAGTGAGGAGTCAGAGCAACGGCTCATGGGCAGCTCCAAGTTGTCACTTGGGAAAATTCAGAGGGAACAGCAGTGTCCATTCACTGCTTTGCCAGTACACTGCTGTAAATGGGCACATAGGGTTCGATTGCCTTGTGCAAGCCTTCTGTGGACATGCTGCTTTCAGGTGCCCAAGACAAGCAGGGAAGAGGTCATCCTATGCTGGACTCTGCTTTTTGGTCAGACCTGCAGGAACACTGACAGTGGAGATCCTGCCCTCTGAAACCCAGTGCTGCTGATGTTTCTAAGTGCCTGTGTTCCTGCCAAATGAAACGTTGTTTGCCGTTGTACAAGGTCATGTTTTCCTTCATGTAAGGAGATGGTTCCCATAAGCCAAACTGCAGTTGTCACTAGGCAGAGCTATTTTAGTGCAATGGGATGGCTCTTTCTCATGCTCTTTGCTGCAGTTCTGTAACAACCCAAGAGTCAAATTATTGTGCGTATTGTTCAATGCAGTTGTAGCTCTGAATTCCAGCTTGGGAAGGAAAATCAGCCATGGTATGAAATACAGAGACACCCTGGCTTGTGCAGGACGTGGGAATTACCAAAGGTTGGGAAAGTATAGAGGAAGTGTAATTGAGGCTCCTGTCAGGAGGGGGATGCTGGATTAGGTGCCTCCTGATCACACGTGTTCTTGTGTCACCTTTATAAGGAATTGCTTCAAAGGAAAAGCTGGGTTTGTTTGAACTCTGGAAACAGGCTGGGCTCAGGAACAGATTCAGTGGTAAAGAGCTGAAGATCCATCTTCCATGGTGGTGTGGAGCTCCACTGCAAGTGCTGTAGGGATTTTCTTTGTGCACTGGCAAGGTGAGACTGATTAATCCCTTCCCTCTAGCTAGAGGAGTGCTAAGTATGGAACTTCCAGCCTGTGCCAAGGCTTTGATCCACAGATTTCTTCTCAGAGTTGGGCAAGAGGATTCCACATCCCTAGTCTCAGCTGTTAATGGAGCAGGAGCATGATGAAGAGGTCGAAGTGACATTGCTCTGAAGGTACCCTAGGTGCTGGCTGACAAGAGGCTGAGGAACACCAGGAGACTGAGAATTGCAGCAAGGGTCAGAGTCTCATGAGGAGCGGTGCCTTCTGTGGAGCCCTTCAGTGACCCGAGGCTGGTAAAACCCTGCCCCTTTGGGATGCCATGGCCCTGTCCCTTGGCTTTCTGCAGACCCTGCTTCCCATGGCCAGCTTCCTGTGGCACCAAACTTGGTTGGTGATGTTCGTGGGTTCCTGCGGTGCTATCCTGGTTGCCCAGTGATGGGTGACCCTTGCAGTCATCTTTCAGGAGCATCTTTCAGTTTCTCTGCGGGATTGTCTGGATTCCCCTCGTCTGCATCAAGATCACATTTAGGAAATACTTTTTCTGATGGTTACCGTGGACTTCCTGCATTTCTCATGCTCTGGAAGTGTTTTGTTTCTCTTTTTTGAGGAAGAAAGTGCACCTTGGTTCCTTTAATACGAAGTACTGACCCGCTCGGTGAGCTCAGTTCTGCTTTAAGGTCTACCCCAGGCTTCCCCTGTGCCACAGCCTGTGTTTCTTTGAGTGGTCTCTCAGTTTTGGTCCCATATGTGCAGCAGTAACCGCAACATCTGCAACGCGGAGCAGTTTGAGGCTGAGGCAAGAACAAGGGTTTCAGCCTTTCTGTGGGCTTCAGAACATGGGCAGGCCTGTTCATGGGCTGGGGTATTTAAATTCACTTTGTAAGGTTGGGACTGGAGATCAGATGGGTTTGGAGAAGCTGAAAAAAGCATTCAGGATGACTTTACAGGCTCGAGGTTGCGTCCATATGGATCTGATCTGAGCTCTGGGCTGCCTGGCCTGGAGGTGTTGCATTAATACTGCTTTGGTGTTTCTCCCACCTCAGCTTTGTTCCTTTGGGAGGTGACGAGTGATGTTTAACTGCCATTGCGCTGTGTTGAGGGCCTGTTTGCAGCTCTTCCTAAAGAGCTGCAGCTCTTTCCTCTCTTAGGATTGGAACTGTGAGGTGCTGTTGCTGGTCTGTAGCTGCATCCTGCTACTTCATTGAACAGAGCTGAGTGAAGGAGGTACTGAGCCACTTCATACCTCTCCCAGACTGTGTCCCTTATGTTGGGTGGGTAAGAGTCACTCTTCCAAGCATCATACCTGGAAGTGAGTTACCCGTACTCTGAGCAAGGTGCACTGTGGTTCTCGTGCAATCTCAAGGGATAGGGGAGCCGAAGGTAACTATTCTAGATGGTGAAGGCAGCTTGGACCGGAGAAATTCCTCTCCCCAAAGAGGCTCAGACTTTCTGAGGATCTGTTCTTACCCTGCAGGGCTTTCGTCGTTCCTGTGACTTCTCTGGGGTTATCAGCTCTCTGTGTTGGAGTTCCTGTTTCAGAGGCACTGCTGTGAATGCCTGTTGCAGTGCTTCAAGTTAGGGATGAATTGCAAGCAGTGGTTCTTCAAGAAGGCTGCAAAGACCTTAAGCATCTTCGTGTCATTTTCTTTGAGCTCTATGGCTCCAACCGTCACGCATTTCATCGTCTTACATCATTTCTCCTTGCAAAAGCTACTTTTTGGTCAGCTCTGCTGACAGTAGAGATCTTTGTGGCTTTTCAGTTATTTCAAAATCCAGCTTGTAGAACCTGCCTTGGCTGAATGCTGCAAGTGTTGTTTCAGAGGGATGCTCAATGTAAATGTACTGTGTTCAGTCTTGCATTGCTTTCCAGTAGTTCTAGATCTTGTGCAGTTCTGCATGCGTTGTCAGAGCTGTGTCCCCTGCAGTTACTCTCAGTTTCACGGCTGTAGCTGCTGTCTCTGTCCCATACAATCATGTTTTTGCTCTTATGCTGCCTCTAAGTTTTGTGTTACATTGGCAAAAGCCCCTTACCCCTTCCCGTGGGAAGAAGCACACAGCGTTCTTTGCTGTCACAACCTCGGATGGCTCCGTGTGGGATCAGCTGGAGCAGGGATCAGGGAAGCGTGGGATACCACGGGTCAGCCACAGCTGCTGCTGAGCCACAGGCTCGACTGTTCTCTGCTGACTGGGGCGAAATGGGTTCTGCCTTTGTTCTTCACAGCCTATATGGAGCGTTTATGTGGAAGGCAAAAGCATGTGCATGTGTGGAAGTGTCCCAGTCACGTCTCCGAGGGTGCTAGAGAACAGTTTCTGCCATTGGCCGTAAGTGCTTTTGAGAATGGTGTTAATGGCTTGCAGTAAGCACATATGGCACCCAGAAACAGAGGTTTCCTTGCCTCCAACTTCATCATTCGGGCACCAGTCACCGGGTTTTACTTTTGCTAGGTTTAGTGTTTGTCTTCCTCTCTCTGTTCTCAAATTCTGGGTCTGTTTCTCATTCATCGCGGTTGCAGATACCAACAGTTTAAGTTCCAGCTTTGTCTGTTACAGCAGATGTGCGCTGCCTCCCTTATCTTCACTGCCTACAAGTATTGAACGTCTCGCAAGTGTGTCTTCACGTGTTAGATTGGCCTGATAAAGCTCAGGGGGGCAGCTTGGCTACATATTGATTCAGACCCTGTTTTCTTTTGATTAGATGTATTAAATACTCATCTGTGTTTATTGCAGGCACTTTAAAGAGCCCATGTGCTGCTACGCCCATTTGCTGGTAATTGTAGGTGCTGCAGAGCCTCCCTGTTGTACTTGTGGTCACTCGAAAGCTCTTGTTCAGTCTTGTACTTCCTTGCGAAAGATGCTCCGAGTTCTGTCGGAGACTTTGTACATCTCCACGGGCTGTGTGTGGTTCCAGGGACCAGCACAACGAGCCACAGAGTTTCCTTTGCACAGGTGCCTCGGAACTCAGCATGCCCAGAGCCTGCTCTCTCTTCAGTTTGGTAGTTTGACCATAGAACTCCCGAGTCCTTGCCATTGCCAGCTTGTTTAATCACACTCTTTCCCTTTTGAGTGCCTTCTGGCTCCCCAGCTGCTTTTAAACCCGTGTGCCATCCACCCCATTCTGTATCAGTCAGCCTTGTCTGGTTCATGCAGTCTCTGCACCACCTCTGCTTGGCTCACGCTGGCACCTTTCTCATCACTGTTGTCTGAAGTGGTTTTCTCTGCCTTCATTCATGTAGTTCTCACCCATTCTCCCGTCTGAGTGACCTGCAGCTATTTCTGTGTGTTTAAATCCTTTCTAGAAGCAATTTTTGCTGTGGCTCTTCATCAGTTTACTATAGTGGTTAAACCCCAGCTATTTCCTTCTGGTCTGACTCCTTGTCTGTTCAGCCCATACATTTTCTGTGTATCTTAAGTGCCCTACAAGGGCTTAGATGACTTGGTGCATACGTGCTGTTTGGAACCTTAGTGTCTCCTTATTGCCTCTTTAATGGTTTTTGTGTCTAAAAGCAGGTGGCTCCTGTTGCATGTGTCTGGGTAACCAAGAGGGGTCTCAGCCACAGCAGAGGTGGAAGCTTGGCTGGCAACAAGGTTTGTTCAACACTCGCTGCAAAGGCCGCTTCCCTCCTTGGGACAGGGCACAAGGTGCAGTCTCACAGGGTTTGGGTTTTTTAGTGCTGCTTCTCCTTACCCTATGCAGAAACCACAGTGAGGTCAGATGGTGTTGGGACTGTGATGGTACTTCTGTTCCACTGCAGCCAAGGGGCCAGCGGTGGAGGAGCTGCATCCACGTTTCTGAAAGAGGTTTTCCCTAAGGAAAAGAGAGAGCTGCTCTGGGGTTTATGCATCGTGGCGAGTTGTATTCCCCACGGTGCTTTAGTGTTGCCAGGGGTTTGTAGTGGGGTTCGCTTCCCAAAGCATCAGGGTCTGGAGCTGAACCGGTCACTCAAGGCTCCCTTGTGCAGTCGGTAAAGGGAAGTAAGGGGATTTTAGGGTGAGCTCACTCTGACCTGTGTTAGCCACCTGCTTTAGGATAACGAACCTTCAAGCCGCACCCTCTGCCTCTCCGAGTGCTGCGTTGATGACTGGTCCCGTATCAGCCTCCACACTTAACCGGAAGAATCCCACCCTCTCTCTGCACGTCCTGCCTGGAAGCAGCCCTGCTGCCGCTGGCTGTCAGCGGGATGAAGAGCAAGAAGGTTCAACCCGAATTTGTTGAGCATGAATCAGCAGCTGCCCGAGAGCGAGTGAAGCGTGTGAAAGAGCACCTCCGCTCTGCCTTGCCAGCGCTTCCTAGGGCTGCGGTTTGCTTATCCTTGTTTTTATGGCAGGCTGGCCAAGGATTTGGGGTAAGACTTCACTCAGCCTTTAACAGGAGCTAATGACAGGGTACGGGCTTCTCAGACTTTCTCATCTGATGAATAAAAGCCGTGCTGGAGGTGGTTGCACAACTGCAGAGGTCCTCCAGTCCGCCACATGGTCCCCAGCTGCTTTTACCTGCCTATTGACACTGTCCCCACCGGGAGCTGTGTGCAGCTGGGGGCCTTCCGTCCTCCGCCAGCTCCATTGGAGCCCACAGCCCAGGCTCAGATTTCCTGCCTCCCCCTGCAGCGTGGCCCCTCTGCATGGTTTCCTGTAGCTGCCATCTTCAGCCTGAAGAGCGGAGAGCTGGTTCTGCTTGTCCAGCTGCCCCAGAGCGTAGAAGCCATCATGGAGCTGGGGAGCAGGCGTGTGAGGTGGCACGGAGCGCTGGAAGAAAGGAAGAAAGCACCAGGGCATCTCTGCATTGAACTCCATGGTTCTGACGTAGCAAAAGTTGGCAGCAAAGTCCCTCATTCTCCATTTGAGAACATTTCTGCTGAGACCCATTTAGTCAGGACTCAGTGCGAGACAAGCAGTGGGTGCCAAGCATCAAAGGGAGCATCAGTAGTGAGAGGAGGAGGCACAAAAGTACCAAATGTAATCAGTTCTAAGTAATGTTAAGTTTGATAACTGCGGTGCTTGCAGGTAGTTGACAGTTTCAGGCCCTCAGGACCTCAGTACAAAAGGTGTGAGAAAAACAGAATAGGACAGGACCTGGGGATGGGGAGTATCGCGGACTAGCAGATGTCCAGGATGAGAGCAGTTAAACTCACTGATAAGTAGAAGGCCAGGATGATTGCCATGTCTGTAATGTTAATTAAGCTTGTTGGGAAAAGTAAACGACCCTTAAAGACCACCACATTTTGTATGCGTGCCGGAAACCTTTTGGAAAATGATGTAATATGCTCAGTGACCGCATAAGGATGACCTGTAGAGCAATTCGGGGACACACGTTAGGAGGAGCTCTCCCCCGTGCCTCCCAGTGCTGCAATAAAGAATACCTGCTTGTCAGTTTGAAACTGTTGGCGAGTTTGTTCCTGGAGTTTTCTCCGAATCAATTTGGCGACCCAGGTGGGACCCTCTCTGCTCGGCTGCAGGACCCGCTGAGGACAGGGCTCCCTAGGGCCCGCGGGAGTTTTTCCCGGAGGGACCCCTCGACTCATTCGGATCGCTGCGGGAGCAGACAAGGACCATCTCATAAAAGGTATTCTTTTCTTTTATATAGTCGTTAAGATGCAGGGGGCATCTCGGTTTGGTAAATCGGTTTGGTAAGCGTATGCACGGTAAATCGAGATAGGAAATCTCGTGGGTAAAGGCGTATACCCGGCTGCTAGCATCCGTTTGGTATACACCCACAAGAAGCAGGGGGCATCTTGTGGTTTGGGTCCGACAAGACGCAGTGGGCGTCTTGCACTAAAGGTTTTACTTTTTATTGGTATATACGCGTAAGAAGCAGTGGGTATCTTGTGGTTTGGGTCCTGCAAGACGCAGTGGGCGTCTTGTAGAAAAAGTTTTGGATTTTACTGGTATACGACTTGTGTTGCGACTTGTTATACTTAGGATTTTGGTATTGGTGACAGACTGTTCTAAATGCATTATTAATTGTTGTCTTTGTTTCAAGTATGTTCTTGTGATTTTGGTGTTGGTGACAGAACTGTTAATTGTTAGTTTGATACAATGTTAGTATCTGTCTCGAGTGCTGTAACTGCGTGGAGTGTGTCTGTGGGATCCTGTGTGTGTGTGAATGCGAGACTGATACTAGGAAATCAGCAGAGTGGAGAGAGCTTGAAAAGAAGTCCTTTAGAGTGCGTTTTGGCACACTGGGAAAGAACACTGGGGCTCGGTACATGAGAAAACGTTGATAAAATATTGTAACCAATGATGGCCGTTGTATACTTTGGAAGATCAGGAAAAATAGCCTAAAAATGAGATTCTGAACTGTGATACCTTGTTACAATTAATGTTGTTGTTGAGGGGGCAAGGAAAATGGGATGAAGTAATGTATGCAGATACGTTTTTCACTTTAAGAAACCGCCCCATGTGACAGACGGAATGAGAAATTAACATAGCTCCGACAGATCCCTTAATTTTGGCTTTGGAAAAGGACAGAAAAAAAAATATAAAAAAAAAAAAAACAAACCTGAAAGCTAAGCTGGAGAGATTTTCAGATTGTGGTACCGGGGAAAGATGCTTAAAGTTAAGGAAAACCAAGGGGGAAAGGAGGGGAGCTCGGGCAGCTCCCGTGTTTGAGCGTGGGATGAGTGCTGGGGAGGCAGAGGTGGAGGGATGTCGGGCGCAGGGGGAGTGGGTTTTTCTCCTATGGGACCGAATCGGGGTGTGCGTGTGCTGTAGGGAGTTTTGGACGTTGGAAGTGAGACTGCCCTGGGGGGGGAGAGTGCCATGGGGTGGCTCCAGTGGCTGAATTGGAACAAGACTTGACAAGGGACCTGGGGAATCTACCCTAGCAGATCCACTGGTTAAATTAAAACTAGGGACTAGAGGGAATAAAGTGGAATTTTAGTGGATACAGGAGCAACTTATTCAGCGTTAATTCGGAGGGAAAAGAATTTGTTACAGATGTGGGAGTTGTCATGAATATTGAAGAGGCCCTCATATTTACCTTGGGACCAGAATTACTGTACTAGTGTCCCATGGTGTACCAGCATTCCTGGAACAGAAAGAAGCCCACTGGTTATCTCCTTCATGTTTTTTAAAAATACCAGGCCACCCCTGTGCAACATGATGATATAGAAATTGTGATCACTAATGTTGCCAACCCAGCATCCTTTTGCAGGAACAGCCAACAGAACTGTTAACACAGGACTGCTTAGCCACTATATGAAACTGTATAGTCAAGTCAACCAGATTTGAAAGAAACCTCTGGAACGTGCCCTGGAATTGGCTAAAGACAAAAGGATAAATATTTGATGCATTTGGTGTGGTCCATGCACATGGTGCCATCTGGAAAGAACGAGGACCATTGAACACACAAGAGACTACTGAAAGCTGTTCAGCTACCTGAGGAAGTAGCTATTATGTATTGTCGAGGGCATCAACAAGGTGAAATTTGGCCGATTCTGAAGCCAAAGGAGAACCTGAACAATCCAAACTCATTCCTTTAATCCCTGACGGCAAACTAACGATTGAGAAATCTAAACCTAGATATTCAAAGGAGGATAGAAAATTGATTGGAGATCTCAAAGGAGAGGAAAACAAAGATTGGGTTCAGATACCTGATGGGTGAATTGTGATCCCCTATAACCAACTCTGGAAGCTAATTCAGGAGAAACGTAACAAAGCTCATTGGGGTAGCAACTCCTTGTATAAATTCTTAGATGAACAAATTGCAGGAAGGAATCTATATAACACAGTTTAATTAGTGACAATGTCAGCTCTGTCTCAAGAATAATCCTAAAATTGAAAATAGAAATCAAATTGGTACAACTGGGAGGAAGTTATCCGGGACAGCACTGGCAAATAAATTTTTCTGAATTACCGAGACCAATATTTGTTGGTGTTAACGAATACTTTTTCAGGGTGGCCAGAAGCATTCCCCTGTAGAATAAATAATGCAAGACACGGAATTGGAACACTGTTAAACAGTATAATACCTTGTTTTGGAGTACCAGAGGCAATTTCTTCTGACCCAGGCTCGCCCTTTAGTGCAAAATAGTTACAAGAAATTAACAAAAATTAGAAATTGATTGGCAACGACATGTTCCTTACAGGCCTCAGGCCAGTGGGCAAGTAGAAAAGATGATCAAACTAGTAAAATATGTCAAGATATTGATACTAAGCTTTACCACTGGCTCTATTGAGAATTTGAACCACACCTCGGTCAGAAGAAGAGGCTATCCCATGTAAAATTTTATATGGAAGACCATATCAGTCCCAGTTTAAAGGAGAGAGCCTTCAGGAAGTGGGAGAAGGCTATCTCCAACAGTTTCTGGTCAATCTGGGAAAACAATTAGAAGAAATAAATAAGAGAATATTAGGGACAAGAGCAAGAGGTTTGGATTACCCAATTCACCCTTTTAGATCCGGAGACTGGGATTATGTTAAGAATTTTTCAGGATATCCTCTACAGGAGAAGTGGAGCAGACCGTACCAGATATTACTGACCACCTTTGAGCAGTGAAGATAAAGGAACAACCTGCTTGGATACATTATTCAAGAATAAAGCAAGCATCAGAACCTGAGAAGACATGGCGGATCGAACCTTCAGGACCCTTACGTATGAAATTGTACTGGTCATAATTTGGACTTACATGATAACTGGTGTACCAGCTTGGGACCAAAACTTATACCTGAAGTTAATGCAGAATGTTACTAATGTTTTTAATCGTAGTGGTGACTGCTGGGTGTGTGCACAGCTGCCTAAATCAGGGGAAAATCCAGACCTACCTTTAATTGGTGTTCCAATTCCCAATGCTGTCTCATGGACTAATTTGTGGGCAAACACCAGCAACCTATATCCAAGGGAAAGGTTAAAATTTGGGATAGCTGATCCTAGTCCAAGTAAAGAATATTATACCTGTATACAAAGTTGTATCACACCAGGAACCAGGGTAGGAGACTATGCTTGTTTAAATGCCACAGGTGCAGGTCACTACTCCCATTGTAATCATACTATTAATATAGATGGTATCGTGGCTCAGTGGTGGCCCCTTCCTGAAGGGAGAGGATGGTACTGGTCATGTGGGAAAAATGCTTATAAGACCCTACCCCCCAGCTGGAAGGGGGCATGCACCTTAGGTGCTGTGATACCAAATCTTGCTATTATTGACACGCATCCTCCTGGAACCTGGGTTAGAAGTTTTGCTAAACGGATTAAGCGAGGGGTTAGCCCTATTGCTGAACGAAACACTGCATTTCATAGTTTTGTGAGATGGCTAATTCCATCTTTGGGAGTAAGTCAATTAAAGAGGACAATCGTAAATAGCAACTATAGAGGAAATGGAAAAGAGAACCATTGATATAACCCAAGCTGAACAAGAAGAGATAACTATCTAAAATGTTACTGCAGAACCGAATGGCCCTAGACATGTTATTGGCCTCACAAGGAGGGGTCTGTTCCATAATCAATGAAAGTTGCTGTTCCTATATAGATCAAAGTGGCAGGATTGAAACAGATCTGGAGGAAATTTGGAAACAAACTAAGATATTTCATGAACTGGCCAAGGATGATACCTCCTGGGGGGTTGAAGAGATATGGAAAAAGTTAACCTCATGGTTACCTAATCTCTCCTGGTTAAGGCAACTGGTTGCAGGAATATTAATATTAATTGTTTTAATATTGATTACTTGTGCTATGATATAATTTTCTTTCCGGTATTGTAAACGATTTGTAATAAGTTATGAAGATTGGAAAAGAAATGAAGTCAAGCATCAAGTAGAAACAGGAAACTATTTCAAAAAGACTCTAGATGGTAATGGCAGTATATAAAATGTTGCAAAAGAATTTGCAAAAGGACAGAAAAAAAGGGGGGATTTGAGACAAGGAGGCACAAAAGTACCAAATGTA